CATACACAAAAATAAACTCAAAATGGATTAAAGATCTAAATGTAAGACCAGAAACTATAAAACTCCTAGAGGAGAACATAGGCAAAACATTCTCCGACATAAATCACAGCAGGATCCTCTATGACCCACATCCCAGAATTTTAGAAATAAAAGCAATAATAAACAAATGGGACCTAATGAAACTTAAAAGCTTTTGCACAACAAAGGAAACTATAAACAAGATGAAAAGACAGCCCTCAGATTGGGAGAAAATAATAGCAAACGAAGCAACAGACAAAGGATTAATCTCAAAAATATACAAGCAACTCCTCCAGCTCAACTCCAGAAAAATAAATGACCCAATCAAAAAATGGGCCAAAGAACTGAACAGACATTTCTCCAAGGAAGACATACAGATGGCTAACAAACACATGAAAAGATGCTCAACATCACTCATTATCAGAGAAATGCAAATCAAAACCACAATGAGGTACCATTATACGACAGTGAGGATGGCTGCTATCCAAAAGTCTACAAGCAATAAATGCTGGAGAGGGTGTGGAGAAAAGGGAACCCTCTTACACTGTTTGTGGGAATGCAAACTTGTACAGCCACTATGGAAAACAGTGTGGAGATTTCTTAAAAAGCTGGAAATAGAACTGCCATATGACCCAGCAATCCCACTCCTGGGCATACACACCGAGGAATCCAGATCTGAAAGAGACACATGCACCCCAATGTTCATCGCAGCACTGTTTATAATAGCCAGGACATGGAAGCAACCTAGATGCCCATCAGCGGACGAATGGATGAGGAAGCTGTGGTACATGTACACCATGGAATATTACTCAGCCATTAAAAAGAATTCATTTGAATCAGTTCTAATGAGATGGATGAAACTGGAGCCCATTATACAGAGCGAAGTAAGCCAGAAAGGTAAAGACCATTACAGTATACTAACACATATATATGGAATTTAGAAAGATGGTAACGATAACCCTATATGCAAAACAGAAAAAGAGACTCAGATGTATAGAACAGACTTGTGGACTCTGGGAGAAGGCGAGGGTGGGATGTTTCAAGAGAACAGCATCGAGACATGTATATTATCTAGGGTGAAACAGATCACCAGCCCAGGTTGGGTGCATGAGACAAGTGCTCGGGCCTGGTGCACTGGGAAGACCCAGAGGGATCGGGTGGAGAGGGAGGTGGGAGGGGGGACCGGGATGGGGAATACATGTAAATCCATGGCTAATTCATTTCAATGTATGACAAAAACCACTGCAATGATGTAAAGTAATTAGCCTCCAACTAATAAAAATAAATGGAAAAAAAAAAGAGTTCTTTGTGTATTTTGGTTAACTATTCTTTTGCAAGCATATTTTCCCAGTTTGTGGTTTGTCTTCTCATTCTTTTGGTTATATTTCTTTTTGTACAATGTGTGCTAAGTCTCTCATTTGTGTCCGACTCTTTGCGATCCCATGGACTGTAGCCCTCCAGGCTCCTCTGTCCACGGGATTCTCCAGGCAAGAATACTGGAGTGGGTTGCCATGCCCTTCTCCAGGGGATCTTCCCAACCCAGGGATTGAACCCGCGTCTCCCACACTGCAGGTGGTTCTTTACCATCTGAGCCACCAGGGAAGCCTCATATATCTTTTTAGTTGTAGTATAATACATAAAATATGATTTGCTATTTTAACCACTTTTGATTATATAGGTCACTCACTGATATTAAATTCATGATTTTATGTAACCATCATCACTATCTACTTCCAAAACTTTCCAAAATCCTCAGTAGAAACTTTGTACCCATTAAGCAATAACTCCTCATTCCTTTTTCTTCCCAGCTTCTGGTATCTCTCATCTGCATTTTTCTTCATGAATTTTCCTAGTCTACATATTTTATGTAAGTGGGATCATAAATATTTGTTATATTTTGTCTGTCATTTTAGTTTACATGTTGTCATGGTCCTACAAGTTTTACCATGATATAGAACTTTATTTCTTTTTATGGCTGTACATATCACATCTTACCCATTCATCTGCTGATGGATATGTGTAGTTTTCACCTTTTGGCTATTGTGAATAATGTTGCAATGACATTGTTTCATAAGCTATTTGTTTGAGTTCCTGTTTTCAACTCTTCTGATTTTATACCTAGCAATGAAATTGTTAGGTCATGTGGTTTCTCTAACTTTAATTTTTTGAAGACTCCAAAAGTATTTGTCATAGTGGTGGTACCAATTTACCTCCCCATCAGCAATGTACAAGATTCCAGTTTCTCTACATCCTTGTGAAACCATGCTATTTTTCATTTTTTTGGGGGGGGGATTATAGCAATCCTAGTATGTGTGAAGTGGCATTTTATTGTGGTTTGACTAACATTTTTATTTTTTTTAATTTTTTTAATTCTTTTTTTTCCATTTATTTTTATTAGTTGGAGGCTAATTACTTTACAATATTGTATTATCAAGGGTGAAACAGATCACCAGCCCAGGTTGGATGCATGAGACAAGTGCTCGGGGCTGGTGCACTGGGATGACTAACATTTTAAAAATGACATCATGTTGAGCATCTTTTTATGTGCTTATGCCCCATATATATAACTTTATAAAAGAAATGTATATTCAAGTCTTTTGCTCATTTAAAAATTGAGTTCTTTGTCTTTTTGTTGTTGAGTTGTAGGAGTTTTTCTATAGTCTGGATATTAAACCCTATTCTATTGGTCTATTCACCTATCTTTATTCTTTATATATTATTTACAAATATTTTCTCCCATTAGATAGGTTATCTTTTCAATTTATGGATAATATCCTTTGATGTGCTGAAGTTTTTAATTTTGATGAAAGTGAAGTGACTCAGTTGTGTCCGACTCTTTGTGACCCCATGGACTGTAGCCCACCAGTCTCCTCTGTCCATGGGATTCTCCAGGCAAGAATACTGGAGTGGGTTCCACTTCCTTCTCCAGGGGATCTTCCCGACCCAGGGATCAAACCCAGGTCTCTTGCACTGCAGGCAGATGCTTTAACCTCTGAACCACCAGGGAAGCCAAGGCCCACCTATTTATATCTTCTTTTGTTATTCACACTTCTAACGTTATATCTAAGAATCCATTGTCAAACCCAAAGTCAAGAAGATTTACCCCTGTTTTCTTATAAAAGTTTTATGGTTTTAGCTCTTTTATTCAGAGAAGGCAATGGCACCTCACTCCAGTACTCTTGCCTGGAAAATCCCATGGATGGAGGAGCCTGGTAGGCTGCAGTCCATGGGGTCGCTAAGAGTCGGACACGACTGAGTGACTTCACTTTCACTTTTCACTTTCCTGCATTGGAGAAGGAAATGGCAACCCTCTCCAGTGTTCTTCCCTGGAGAATCCCAGGGACGGGTGAGCCTGGTGGGCTGCTGTCTATGGGGTGGCACAGAGTCGGATACGACTAAAGAGACTTAGCAGCAGCAGCTCTTTTATTAAAGTTGCGAATCCATTTTGTGTTAATATTTGCTATGGTTTTAGGTTTACTTGCATCTTTTGCATGTGTATGTCTAATAAGCACTGTTCCATTTGTTAAACAAGACATATTTTACCCGTTAAATGGTCTTGGAAACTTTTTCAAAAATCAGTCAGCATAGATATATTGTTTAATTTTTATTTCTGCAAGGTAAATAGTTCTGTGTAATTGAGCTGTTCAAAATGAACACTCTGATTCTGAACACTTTTATATAGTATGTATAATCTAACAGTTCTGCATTATTGAATAGACCAGTGGAATAGGGCTTAATATCCAGACTTCCCTTGTGGCTCAGCTGGTAAAGAATCTTCCTGCAATGTGGCAGACCTGGGTTTGATCCCTGGGTTGGGAAGATCCCCTGGAGAAGGGAAAGGCTACCCACTCCAATATTCTGGCCTGGAGAATTCCATGGATTATACAGTCCATAGGGTTGCAAAGAGTTGGACATGACTGAGCAACTTTCACTTTCACTTTCATATGTGTTACAGAAGTTAGAAATGAACACTGTGACTCTGAAAACTTTAATAAGGTACCTTTTTAAATAAGATACTTTTAAAAATAAAGTATCTTACCTTTTATAAGATCATTTACACTCAGAATTCATGATTTTCAGCTGAAATAATAGATGACATTATGCTAGTAGATGGTAAGGAGCACCTTAATTCCTCATACCCTTTAAAGAAGATAGACTTGGGTGGTTGGTGGAATTGGTTGGCCTGTCTAATTAAGTGTACTGTCAGGTACAGGATACTTCCATTTCTAAAACCACTAATTGTAACAGAAGTTGTCATTAGATTAATTTTCCCTACATGGTTGAAAATTTTATGTTTATTGTAATGTTTTAGGAAAAAAATCAAGACCACTGAAATACTTTTTTTATACATCACCAAGACACAATGCTATGTATAACACAGGTTTCGTAGGAATGTCTAGCAGCGTATTTGAGAAATAAGGACATGATAGCCATACTCTAAAAATCCACAAGCAATCAGATAAGAGAGGTCAGGAGGGACTGAACACAGGTTGAATCTCATGATGTGAAATGTCTTCCTCTCTGTTCCCATAGGAACCTCTTTTTTATCTTTATAAACTATGATGTGACACCTCTGCTCCAAACCTCATTCTCAAACTGCTCCCATGTCTGATGGAGATGTTGTTTCTGTATCCCATACACAATGCTCACAGCTGATAAAATGGCACTTACCACACTGACAGTAATTCTCCGTTTGTGTTTCTAGATCACTGGGGACTAAGGAAGCCCCAGGACAGTGTAATTTGCAATAAATCTTTCTTTCTTTCTTTCTTTCTTTCTTTATTTTTATTAGTTGGAGGCTAATCACTTTACAATATTGTAGTGGGTTTTGTCATACATTGACATGAATCAGCCATGGATTTACATGTGTTCCCCATCCCGATCCCCCCCTCCCACCTCCCTTTCCGCCCAATCCCTGGAAGAATATTTATGAGTTCTTGAAAATACCTGAGTAAAGACAGCTGTGATTCAGAGACACTCACCTGTCTGATAAATGGCCATATACGATGCTTCCCACCAGCATTCCAGCCATGAATAAGAATTTGGCCATTGATTTTAGTGATTGAGATTCACATACCAGGTCCCACTGGAAAAGAAAGAAAGAAGCAAAGGAGAGCTCCATGATTTATAACCTCTCAGTGGGAACCTGATTGAAGCAGTTTGAATGATTCACGTGGTTGTTTATTTTATCCCCTTTTCGCTCTCCAGCTTCCTTTTTTACATTAGCTGATTTTTACTATTCAAGTCTCAGCTTAAATATAACTTCTTTTAGGAAGCCTTCTCTAAACCTGTTAGATTTAACAATGCCTTGTTTTGTTCTATATAAAGTGGTCCTCAATCTTGGCCATAGAGTGCAATATTTGAGGGCCTTAAAAAGTTTCCTGATGCCAGAATTTCATCACAGATCTTCTTATATGGCTGCTTTGGGATACAGTGCTTGGAGGTTTCCATCAATATCCCTGATATTTCTAATTTACAAGCAAGGCTGGACATTAATGATCTTTTAAACACATCACATAAATTACTTTCTTAACCTTTGATCTTTCTAACAATAAAAGCCATATAATAGCAAGGTCACATCTATTTTTGAGTTCATTAAATTCTTTACATATATAGGTGTTTGGCATTCAATAAAGAAGTAATTAACATTTGCCGAAAGATTGAAGAATGAGTACCTAATAGTGACTAAAAAGGCTAGAAACTTATTGAATACTCAGTTACCCATAAAGACTCAGACCATGTACTCATAAGACGTAAATGAGGCCTCTTACCTCGGTCACGATAGTGGAGGTGAACATGCTTTTGTCATACACCCAGCCGTCCACACAGGACTCTGTGTCCAGGTCAGTCATGTTGGGGAAGGTCCTGTTCAGGTTAAGCAGCTGCCACTGGGGGCGGCTGAAGCGACGACACTTCTCTGGCCTCAGGTTTGAGTCCCGTGGGATGGAGATTCTCAGGAGGGCATCAGGGCTGAGGGTCCCAGTGTCATTAGCCGAGTCAGTGTTATTGTCGAGAATGTGGACCCAACAGTGATGACCAGGGACGGCTGCAGTGAAGTTCTCCAATAGAATATGAGGGTAGGTGACGAGGCTGGAGATGCAAAGGAAAAGCATCTGAAGGATCTGGAATCTCCCCAGGCCTCCAACTTGATCCAGGAGGTCCTGAAAGGCCATCGAGGCTGAGCAGTGATCCCCAAGAGGAAGCAAAATGACTATTTAGAGGAATTCAAAGAGAGGAAAACTTTCACTATGTCACACACTAAGTGTGTATTGATCCTGATCTCAGTGTTAGCTCAGTGGGTCCTGGGTCACCTCCACAGCAAGGGCATGGAAGCTAGTTCTCCAGCTTGTTTGGGGATCAGGTTGGTAACTGTTTTCTTTAACGTCACAGAGAAATACTTTGCTGAGATGTTTCCAGTAATTGACAAAACTGTTTAAAGGTCTACTCTGTGAAAATTCTTTTTGTCAGCAGTGCCCCAAAGTGGCATTGGACTTTGAGCACCACATCTGTAAATAAAATAAAATAAACCTGCTGCATGGTTTGCAGTCCGTTTCAGAACCTGTCATTTGCCAGACTTGAAAGTGAACTGTTTTTTTATTTTTCTGTAAAAAGTACTGAAAGTAGGTGTTTTGCTTGTTTAATATTGAATTTTCATTAAAAAAGTTAATGAAAATAGTCCTGAGTTAATTTACAGCAAGTGAAATATGGTACAATATTTTTCTTTTGGTAAATGATATTATTCTGCTTCACGTCAAATCAAACCATGAATTCCTGTTGAAAATAAAGTACTCGAAATGGGGTCAGGACAGGTAGTGATTGAGGGCAGAGGGCTAAGCCAGTGGTAAGTGAATTTACCACTTTATTTATTACAGGCTTATTGATTCACTCAGATAACATTTGTGAGGATGTTTTCTGTTCTAGAAATATAGCAGTGTGTAAGATAAGGTCTTCAAGTGTGAGACTATGGTGAGTAAGGGAGAGGTACTTTCATCATTTATTGTTATTTGATTTTGATGATGGCCATTTTCACCAGAGCCAGGTGATACCTCATTGCAAGTTCTGATTTGCATTTGCCTGATAATTAGTGACATTTAGCATCTTCATGAGCTGTTAATCCATCTGTATGTCTTCTTTGTATAAATGTTTATTTAGGTCTTCTGTTCATTGTTTTCTTTGAGTTTTTTTTTTGAAATTGAACTTTGTGAGCTATATTGTATAGTTGGAAATAAATGCCTTGTCAGTTGCTTCATTTGCAAACATTTTCTTCCATTCTGTGGGTTGTCTTTTGATTTTGTTTATGGCTTCCTTTGCATGCAAAAGCTTGTGAGTTTAACTAGGTCCCATTTGTTTACTTTTATTTTCATTACTTTAGGAAGTGGAACCAAAAAATATTGCTGTGATTTATGTCAGAGTCTCCTGCCTGTATTTTCCTAGAGGAGTTTTACAGTATCCCATCTTACATTTAGGTCTTTCATGTTCTAATTTCATTATTTTTCATGTAGTTGTACAGTGTTCCAACCACCACTTATTGAAGAGACTGTCTTTTCTCCACTGTGTATTCTTCCATAGTCTTCCCTCCTTTGTCATAGATTAGGTGACCATAGGTGCATGGGTTGATTTCTGGGCCTTCTACCCTGTTTCATTGAGCTATATTTCTGTTTTTATGCTAGTACCATACTGTTTTGATTACTGTAGCTCTGTAATACAGTCTGAAGTCAGGGAGCCTGATTCTTTCAGCTACATTTTTCTTTCTCAAGATTTCTTTAGCTATACAGGATCTTTTATGCTTCTATCACATTAAAATTTTTTTCTTCTAGTTCTGTGAAAAATGACATTGGTAATTTGATAGAGATTGCACCGAATCTGTAGATTGCCTTGGGTAGTATAGTCATTTTGGCAATGCGGATTCTTCCAATCCAGGAACATGGTATGTTTTTCCATCTGTTTGTGTCTTTCAGTTTCTTTCGTCAGTGTCTTACTGTTTTTGGAGCAGAGGTCTTTTGCTTCCTTAGTCAGGTTTATTCTTAGGTATTTCATTCTTTTTGGTGTGATGGTAAATGAGATTGCTTCTTTATTTGTTTTCTGATCTTCATTGTTAGTGTATAGGAATGCAAGAGATTTCTGTGTACTAATTTTGTATCCTGCAACTTTATTGAATTTATTGATGAGCTCTAGTAGTTTTCTGATAGCATCTTTAAGATTTTCTATGTATAGTATCATGTCATCTGCAAACAATGACCATTTTACTTCTTATTTTACAATTTGAATTGCTTTTATTTCCTTTTCTTCTCTCATCATGGTGGCATTTGCCTTATAAATTGAGATACTTCTATGTTAGGTGCATGGGATTTCCCCAGGTGGCTCAGTGGTAAATAATCTGCCTGCCAATGCAAGAGACATGGGTTCAGTCCCTGGGTTGGGAAAATCCCCTGGAGTAGGAAATGGCAACCGTCTCCAGTATTCTTGCCTGGAGAATCTGACAGACAGAGGAGCCTGGTGGACTACAGTCCATGAGGTTGCAAAGAGCCGGACATGACTGAGTGACTAACACACAGACAGTAGGTGCATCCATGTTTACAATTGTTATGTCTTCTTCCTGGACTGATCCCTTTCTTATCTCTTGTAACAGTTTTTATTTTAAAGTCTATTTTGTTTGATATAAGTATTAGTATTCCACCTTTCCTTTGATTTCTATTTGTGTGGAATACCTTTTCCTATCCCCTCATTTTCAGTCTGTACATGTCCCTAGACCTGAAGCAGGCTTCTTATAAACAGCATAGATACAGGTTAATTTTGAACTAAAAATTCATAATAAAAAGTTAGAAATAGAACATTTTGCTTCATGAAAGCTCTTGGCAGTAGTAATACACATAGATACTAATGTTAATATTTTGACTAATACCTAGACATTTCCTTTCCCCACAAGAATAGAGTCCTATTACATACTTTCATTTTTTCCTGCTTTCCTAATTTATGTTGTTTTCTTCCCCAGGAGAAACCTGGAACAGACCCTTCTCTAGAGCCTACAGAGGAAAACACAGCCCTTTCAACAACTTGAGCCTCTAGAACTATGACACAAATACATTTTTGTTGTTAAAGTTACTCAGTTGGAGAGCTTTATTTATTATGAAAGCACTAGAAAGCTAAGATACAATTTTTATAGTTTTAAAATACCTTTTACTAGTTTCTTATTTTCCCTACCCTCAATAGTTCTATTAGTTACGGTAGCAAAGTTGCCTAATCTTACAGAGGCGAACACAAGAATTATTTATTTCTTTATTATATTTTCAAAGAGAGACTTTAACTCTGTGTGTCCTAACATTATTCCTTCACTAGAAATCTCATTTCTTTCCCATTTATATCCCAGCCTCTAATGGATCTGAGGATTATGAAATATCATCAGGAATATGTGTCTCACGTGAGGACAGGTAGGATTTGTCCTTCAGTTTAGCTCAGTTCAGTTGCTCAGTCGTGTCCAACTCTTTGCGATTTGCCCTTACAATAGAGCTAATTGTTGTCACTTCAGTACTAAAGCTACCAATGAGAACAGGGTAGAGGGGATCTCTGCACTTTAGACTGGAACACACAGTGGGTATAAATGACCTTGCCCCTTGTGAAGGTACTGGGCCGAGATGGGAGTATCCCAGGAAAGGCTCAGCCTCCTCAGTGATCTGAGGGACCCACTCAGTGTGTTGCCTTTCTCACCCACAAGATTCAAAGCACACAGTCCTTCCAAGGGGATGGTGGAAGGTTTCCTCACTTATTTTCCACATCCTGGATTGTGTCAAACAGAGGCATATTTCGGGTTTCAGGTAGGAGAAGGACAACAAGACCAGAAAAGATGGGACACACTCCATAGATGATCCAGGGTAAACTGCGTAGATACACCACTAGGGTCATCAAGAGGGGAGCCAGTGTTGCCGCAAACCAAATTACCATCATATCTAATCCCACAGCTTTTGCGCTGAAGGATAAATGACAACACGTAATAATGCAGTAATAATACACACACGAAACTTGTGATGTTTTATTTTGACTTGATTATGGAAGACAGAGGACTTCCCTGGCATCTCAGCAGTAAAGAATCTGCATACAATGCAGGAGATGTGGGTTTGATTCCTGAATCGGGAAGATTCCCTGGAGGAGGAAATAGCAGCAACGCACTTCTGTTTCCTTGCCTGGAGAATCCCATGGACAGAGGAGCCTGGCATGCTACTAGACATGACTTCGTGACTAAATCATGGAAAACAATAAAACACAACTGTTAAATACACGGATTTGGTGAAAAACACTTGTTTTTGTGATTTTGCTCTATGATTTTCTACCTGCTTTTCTCAGGGTCAAAGCGTATTAAGACTCACTGTCATCATTTTAAATGACAAGTTACAGAGTGCACCTATTCTGACAAATAGCCTTAAAAAATTAATGAGAGAATACATTAAAGTACTGTTCAAGGAATAGAAGGAACATATCTCAACATAATAAAAGCTATATATGACAAACCCACAGCAAACATTATCCTCAATGGTGAAAAATAAAAAAATTTCCCCCCAAATCAGGAACAAGACAAGGATGCCCACTCTCACCACTACTATTCAACATAGTTTTGGAAGTTTTGGCCACAGCAGTCAGAGCAGAAAAAGAAATAAAAGGAATCCAGATAGGAAAAGAAGAAGTGAAACTCTCACTGTTTGCAGATGACATGATCCTCTACATAGAAAACCCTAAAGAATCTACCAGAAAATTACTAGAGCTAATCAATGAATATAGTAAAGTTGCAAGATATAAAATTAACACACATAAATCCCTTGCATTCCTATATGCTAACAATGAGAAAACAGAAAGAGAAATTAAGGAAACAATACCATTCACCATTGCAACAAAAAGAATAAAATACTTAGGAGTATATCTACCTAAAGAAACAAAAGACCTATACATAGAAAACTATAAAACACTGATGAGAGAAATCACAGAGGACACAAATAGATGGAGAAATATACCATGTTCATGGATTGGAAGAATCAATATTGTCAAAATGACTATACTACCCAAAGCAGTTTATAGATTCAATGCAATCCCTATCAAGCTACCAACGGTGTTCTTCACAGAACTAGAACAAATAATTTCACAGTTTGTATGGAAATACAAAAAACCTCAAATAGCCAAAGTAATCTTGAGAAAGCAGAATGGAACTGGAGGAATCAACCTGCCTGACTTCAGGCTCTACTACAAAGCCACAGTCATCAAGACAGTATGGTACTGGCACAAAGACAGAAATATAGATCAACGGAACATAATAGAAAGCCCAGAGATAAATCCACGAACCTATGGTCACCTTATCTTCGACAAAAGAGGTAAGAATATACAATGGAAAAAAGACAATCTCTTTAACAAGTGGTGCTGGGAAAACTGGTCAACCACTTGTAAAAGAATGAAACTAGGACACTTTCTAACACCATACACAAAAATAAACTCAAAATGGATTAAAGATCTAAATGTAAGACCAGAAACTATAAAACTCCTAGAGGAGAATATAGGCAAAATACTCTCCGACATAAATCACAGCAAGATCCTCTATGACCCACCTCCTAGAATATTGGAAATAAAAGCAAAAATAAACAAATGGGACCTAATGAAACTTAAAAGCTTTTGCACAATGAAGGAGACTATAAACAAGGTGAAAAGACAGCCCTCAGATTGGGAGAAAATAATAGCAAACGAAGCAACAGACAAAGGATTAATCTCAAAAATATACAAGCAACTCCTGAAGCTCAATTCCAGAAAAATAAATGACCCAATCAAAAAATGGGCCAAAGATATAAACGACACTTCTCCATGGAAAGACATACAGATGGCTAACAAATGCATGAAAACACTCAACATCACTCATTATCAGAGAAATGCAAATCAAAACTTCAATGAGGTACCATTACACTCCAGTCAGGATGGCTGCTATCCAAAAGTCTATAAGCAATAAATGCTGGAGAGGGTGTGGAGAAAAGGGAACCCTCTTACACTGTTGGTGGGAATGCAAACTAGTACAGCCAATATGGAGAACAGTGTGGAGATTCCTTAAAAAACTGGAAATAGAACTGCCATATGACCCAGCAATCCCACTCCTGGGCATACACACCGAGGAAACCAGATCTGAAAGAGACACATGTACCCCAATGTTCATTGCAGCACTGTTTATAATAGCCAGGACATGGAAGCAACCTAGATGGCCATCAGCAGACGAATGGATAAGGAAGCTATGGTACATATACACCATGGAATATTACTCAGCCATTAAAAAGAATTCACTTAAATCAGTTCTAATGAGATGGATGAAACTGGGGCCCATTATACAGAGTGAAGTAAGCCAGAAAGATAAAGACCAATACAGTATACTAACACATATATATGGAATTTAGAAAGATGGTAATGATAACCCTATATGCAAGACAGAAAAAGAGACACAGATGTACAGAACAGACTTTTGGACTCTATGGGAGAAGGCGAAGGTGGGATGATCTGAGAGAACAGCATCAAAATATGTATATTATCAAGGGTGAAACAGATCACCAGCCCAGGTTGGATGCACGAGACAAGTGCTCAGGGCTGAAGCACTGTGACGACCCAGAGGGACGGGATGGGGAGGGAGGTGGGAGGGGGGTTCAGGATGGAGAACACATGTAAATCCATGGCTGATTCATGTCAATGTATGACAAAACCTGCTGCAATGTTGTGAAGTAATTAGCCTCCAACTAATAAAAATAAATGAAAAAAAAAAAAGAACTAAAGAGCCTCGTGATGAAAGTGAAAGAGGAGAGTGAAAAAGTTGGCTTAAAACTCAACATTCAAAAAACTAAGATCATGGCCTCTGGTCCCATTGTGGCAAATAGATGGGGAAACAGTGGAAACAGTGAGAGACTTTATTTTGGGGGACTGCAAAGTCACTGCAGATGGTGACTGAAGCCATGAAGTTAAAATAGGCTTGCTCCCTGGAAGAAAATCTATGACCAATCTAGTCAGAATATTAAAAAGTAGAGATATCATTTTGCCAACAAAGGTTCATCTAGTCAAAGCTATGGTTTTTCCAGTGGTCATGTATGGATGTGAGTTGGACAAAGAAAGCTGAGTGCCAAAGAATTGATGCTTTTGAACTGTGGTGTTGGAGAAGACTCTTGAGAGTCCCTTGGACTGCAAGGAGATCAAACTAGTCAATCCTAAAAGGAATCAGTCCTGAATACTCATTGTAAGGACTGATGTTGAAGCTGAAACTCCAATACTTTGGACACCTGATGCAAAGAAGTGACCATTGGAAAAGACCCAGATGCTGGGAAAGATTGAATGCAGGAGGAGAAGGGGACAACAGAGGATGAGATGGTTGGATGGCATCATCGACTTGATGGACATGATTTTGAGCAAGATCCAGGAGCTTGGTGATTGACAGGGATGCCTGGTGTGCTACAGTCCATTGGGTTGCAAAGAGTTGGACATGACTGAGCAACTGAACTGAACTGATGTGCCAAAATCTGTACTGTGATGGATTACAGATGGAGTACATTCATCTCCAGTGAAGAGACTGACAGTGTGACACAACCTAACTGTTCATCATATAATCAGTCCCATGTGAGTCTTATTTGGTGTGTTTGCCTCATCCTTTACCTTTAAATATGCCCCCCAACAACACATTGTAATCTTTGACATAAATGGCTTCATGTCCCCACTCCTTGAATGTTGTCAGCCCACCTGACAAAGAGCAGCAGACACATCTTTTTACACAGGTTAAGTGTGCAGAACAAGTCAAAAACAGTAGTTTTAGTCTGTGCTGCCTCCAACTCCTCCTGCATGGTCACTCTCAAAGCCTTTAATAACAACAAACATGTATCACTTGTCAGCATAGTGCCGGGTATTGTGAAAAGCACAGGACGAGAAAGATGTGCTCCCTTTTTTTTTGTAGTGTAACATATTACATATGCAATCGCTAGTGTGAATGAGATATGAAGAAAGATGCAGGGAGTTAAGGGAGACCCCAGGAAATTAGACAGAGCAGTGATATTTTGAAAATGAGGCCATAGAGCTGGGCAGGGATCCATGAGAGCACATAGGCTGTATATTCAGATCAGGAAATGAGCTAAATCACAAATCCTTGTACAGTGCTCAAAGCTTCTTTTCATGATATAGCCATGAAAGATAAGGGAACTGAGCTTACATTCTCAACTAACTGCCCTTTTTAGAAAAGCAGCTTGTCTATCTCAATAAGGAGAAGGCAGGTGTCAGTTTATTTCTTCCCGCCAACCCAGTAACCACTTTCCCTTTCCTGCTCATCTTCATGTTCAGGGTTTCTTCAGCATTCTTCATTCCATTTCTGTGTGCAACTTTCTTAAGTTTCATTAAGCCCTCATCTGGTTTATTGGTGACAATCAGCCACTGAGCAGATTCAACCAACCACCTGATGAAAAAAAGGCACACAAGTGCAGTCAGCTCTCCCTTGCTTATTTGTCACCTGATTATTGGCAACAGATACTTTTTGCTTTTCACCTATATCTAGAACTTCACTTATTGGATTAGGAAAGAAATTATGTTCTTTTATACAAATACTAGGAAAATAGGAAAATGACTATTGTGGGCATTGCACCTGAAAGTTATAGCACACACAGTCTAATACAGACTTGGGAGTCAAATTTCCTCTGTGCTTAATCAGCAGATTTTCCAAGAAGCTTATGAGGCTTAAGCTTGAGAGTCTTCCACATGCATAATTTCCTTTCAAAGTTTGTCTTTGGTTCTATCAAATTTGTGCTCACATTATGTATTTATAAAATATTCTTTTTTAAAAAGCCCCCCAGTTATGTAAACTTAAAGCCCAACAACATGTGCAAGTACTCCAACCATGACCTGCTCTTAGTAACCTGTTGTCAGTAGCTAAGTACACAGATGAGTCACTTATTTGAATGCGTCTCAGTTTTCTCATCAGTACAG